AACCGTAGTATTTTAGAGAAATACATTCATTTGCAAATCGTTTTTATTTTCGCGAGAGCCTCAAGTGAATCTCTCGTTTATGATATTCTACAACTGAATGTGCCGCACACAGGCCGCCTTATGTTTCAGTTGGCACGATATTCGAGATATCGCAGTATATTTTCATAAAGGAAACTACTCACAAGGTTGCTGGACTGTCGAAGAGTTTTCAGTTTTATGAAAGTAACCGTAGTATATTTAATATGATGTCACATTCCTCCTAGATTTTGAGTAACTTGTGCTCCCGGCACATAACTGATCAAAGTTTCGTTGGCAAATCACCTTATTTAACCATTTCAAAACCAGTTTCATGATGCGGCAATATGCAGAGAAAATCTTAAAAAATTGTTTGCCATCCGTAAAATAATCCGCCACCTATCCGGAGGATAAATACCCATTGTGGAATAAGTTCAGGCCATCGCTTCAAAAAGCCTTCTAAACCNCAAGAAGTGGTGTTCTCGGCATTCGGTTTAGAAAAGTGTAGAGTCAGGTATACTGCTATTCAGAATGAGCAACTAGTGTGTACGCAAACTGATCGAAAAGGTAGGCATACAGGGGTAAGGTCGAAACACTGATAAGGAGAAATCTGTCTCCACTCTGAAGTGGGAGAAAAACAAACGGTTGCAGAAATTTTGTCGCAAACACTGAAAATCAAATTTTGACTGATACACAACAGGGCAATTTGTTATCCGAATTCCTCGGCCTCACTGGAGTTAGCTTTCAAGACTGTTATCCTTCAAGTATGATGGAATATCTTTATATGTCCAGTGTGGATTTGGATACTGTTCTCACAAGTAGGGTCAGTCACTGCCTGCCGAATGCACACGTGGTATTTCACGGAGTCGCTATGATCGGACACAAATCCAGACGCCTGTTCGGGCTGGACAACTTTCCAACCCTCAGTGACTGTATTACGGAATCACTTCATGTTGACACGGCTTAATACATACATACATACATACATACATACATACATACATACATACATACACAGACAGGTATGCAGGCAAGAACACGATTGTCTGCTCGGCTGACAGTCAGAATTGTTCATTTTTCTGGCCTATGAATGTCAGTTCAGTGAGTTGTGAATGCTGTATACTAGTCGACGGAATTTATTACGTACTCGAGTCTTGGCATAAACAACATAAATCAACAGAAGTCTCTATCAGGGTACAATGAATCACATACGCACGCAACCAAGCATTTATGCACACACGCACACACAAACATCTGGGTCGGCGAAATCGTGAACAATCCCAAGCCCAAAAACAGCATAAACACAAGCCGCGGGATCGTGTGGACGTTATCGATTTAGGTCCGGATGATCGGCAATATACACGGGCCACCAGAAGCATTGCTGTGACACTTTCGTTCGGAGAGTATTAAAAGCCCATCCGAAACGGACCACTGTTCGCCGAAGTGCAACTGACCCATCAGCGTGCGCAGTTACACAGGTTGCGATTATTCCGAAAAACACGTCATGGAAAACGAGCTTAATTTCATGCAGATGACTTTTTGCAAGAACCAGTTCAGGTGACTTACACACAGCTTCAGCCACAGATATCTTGACTTCTTAATATGATGTCCAAATGCTTGCTTCTGGTGTAATCGATCGCTGAGATTAGTTACAGTAATTCAGGCTGACAAAACTCGATCCCTTTGTGAAACGATAACTCAGATGTCCGCAAGGCCTTTGGGTAAATTTGATTTGAGCGAAAGGAAAAATCAACGCAGATATGGAGTAACGTGCGCGATCTTCAGGAGGAGGGGTGCTATCAGTCACTCTGTGACAAAGTGATTAGTTGATAATTAGTTGAGGGTTACTGGGGGATTTGTGGGATCTCCATTCACAAAAGTCTGATTTAAACAATCCTCTTTTCGTCCTTGGGCAATTATTCAGGTGAGTCAACACCGGAGAGTGGATTTTCGCTCGTACCAAACTTCGTTATCAGTGCATGACCTTGGCTGTGGTCAGGTGTAAACCCCGGAAGAGGCGCAAAGGTGTGCCTAAGCATGAACGCGCCTACTAGTCACAATGGATGTTCAGCGCTGCTCTTCTTGGGTGGGCACTTGACTGAGTAATTGAGTCAGGACAGCATCACGACAGTTATACATGTGCAGCATACATTGAAGTGATTGGCCTAGCGATGTTTTGATGCTTACAAGATTCCAATCCCAAGAGGACCCATCAAGAGATGGAGGCATGATTGACACCTACTCTGAATGCCCCCCCCCCCACCCCCGGAGGTGTGAAGGCCTACACTAGGCGGCTTACGGCTAATACGGTAAATATCCGATTTTCAATTCATCAGCTTCTGACAGGTGTGGCGAAGATCCACAGCACAACATCCATTAAAATCAGAACTAGGTGCACAATCACAATACTTATGCACTTTAACAGTTTAACGAATGTTTTAAGTCAAGGAGCCAAGAACCCAAATTTTGAACTAAGGAAGTTTTATCCCATGGATAAGAACATGAATTTCACGGAGTATAGACTTTCCGTTACTGTTCATTTGCAACCTCAAGTAGACAAGGCTTCTAGCTTTGAAGCAGTGTGACTCGGTGTTTCTCCTCAAAATTGAACCCACTAGAAGAATAAACATTCCAACATGAAGGAATGTCCTGGATCCCTATCGGTTCTCACGGCTTGAGGGAGTGAATATTTTGTCCGGTTTTAATTGAGCCCGTCTTCGAATGCGTGATAATCATGTAATCTACACTGTTCTCTGAAGAGTCGCTTCGGCAGCCATCTAATATCATTGAGAAATATCTTGATTGTTCTTTCTTATCTATATCAAAATGGATGCAATCACCCGTTTACAAAATGCTGATTATTATCGTTATTTTTTCATAAGATGTTCTTTCCCGGTCACACGAATAGTGATTGGTTGCTACATGACATTTTTATTTCAAAATAGTTTTTATTTCATTGCTAACCACGAAAGTGAATTGCTTAAATTGCCAACCGGTTGCATATCTTGCGCACAAATATCGGGATATACGATGCAAATGCAAAAATTAAGGCGCAATTTCACAAGGGGGACGACCTGGAAGGCCTGAAGCATCCGGCTGAAGACCAAGTGAGCAGGTTATCATATTGGTCAGGATTTAAGACAGACAGATTAGTTAATTTCAAAATATTTATTGATCAGAAGATATTGAGGGACCAAGGAAAGGTACTGAGTATTACGCGAAAGTGTCTAAACTGAACAATCTATTCTTCGAAGATTGCCCTCTCGAAGAAATGGAAACCCAAGAAAAATGGAGGCTCAAACCGTTGAGCTTCCAATGGTGAGAGTCCAGTGTATCTTCAAGTAATTCATTGTATCGAGGAGCCTGTTGTGAGCTTATGCGTTTTGTTGCCTCGGACAACAAAGTCTGTCTGAGAATTTGAATCCCTCAATATCGAGTTGAAATGCATATAGAAACACTATTCTCATTTTCACAAAATACACTGAATTAGCACTTTCTGTGAAGACTTGTTGAAGATCACGGTAGCCACATGACATGTACTTTTTACTGGGTTGGAGCATCGAACTGTTTGGAGAACAATGTAAGGCCAGGTAGACTGGCATTTGATAAAATCACTTCCCGAATCTAAAATGCAGGCCGGTGGCCGTCACATGTCAGCATTTGTGACATGACTGAAACATCAGTTTGACCGTCAGTGATAGACCATCCACTACTGGGTGTTATATATCCTAGTTTACAGTTGTGAGGCGTAGCCACCACGTACAGACCGTTTCTGTTGGACCATGCTTTCTTCTGAAGCATCAGGCCCACTGGATAGGAACATCTCATCAACACTGCTGAAGTACTCCACATGGTTTTTTGGAAAAATTACCTCTCTAGCGCCAAATCAACTGCTCACGAGTAAGACTGGTTAGGCAGTGCACTTCGTACACCAGAGGGGCGTTTGTTTCGCAGTTTCACGGAAGTCCACCTAGGACTAGTCAGTCCATGACTTTGCAGCGGGATACGAGAACTCGTACCAGCCAACTCAGTTATGCCGGCTGCTACCACCGTCTCAGACATGAACTTTAGGACAGGGAAAACCAACGGTTAATGTGCTCGATAACTAAGTCCCTCTCATGCAGATAATGATCATCCCGTGCCAGAACTACTGTCTCCAGTTTGTAGTTACCTTAGACTATGCACTAGCAAACAAATAAACGAAACTAGCTTAATTGAACTGACTGTATCACCGCCTCTAATGTACGTAAGCACGCTATTCCCATCCAAGGTGGATGAAACTGAGGCGGCTGTGACCATCGTACATTGATACAGGGCTTATGGTTGAGTAGATGCAGCCACAACAAACTGTGTTGGCAACCTGTATTTGTCTGATGTAGTCTGTATTCTCCTCGATGTAAATCATTAATTATAGACGCAGCAGTATTCAGTCCTACCGGTGTTGTGCATATTTTAGCGTAAACCGATCGCCCATCTCCAGGACCAGCTTAAATAACTATTTAAATCAGTGCGCCTTGGTTCTTTCCATTTTCTACTAAGAATCTTTCATTTCTGTCGCTTTCCTGTAAATCGCCGCTGAGATTACTGATGGTTTAGTGCAGACAATAAGATCATGCAAGACGCATGCAAAAACTTATATACACATATATACGTAATGCACTTCTCATAAGGTTGCCGAAAATTCTTCGGCATCCCACGGCCGGTTTCGCCCTATTTGAGGCTCACCAGGTGAGCGAAGTCATAAACGAGAGATTCATGGTGAGTCCCTCGCAAAACCATTTTTTTACAAACGAGTGTATTCCGCTAATCCCGTGCAATTTCTTTTCAAGTAGAACGTGAGGTTGACACAAACTCGAGGACTGTGCCAAAAGGGAGAAACTGGTCGTAAGCTGTCGAAGAATTTTCAGCGCCCTATGAGTAGTGCATTAAGCATATACATATACTGCAATATCTCAAATATCGCGGCAACTGGAACATGAGACGGCATGATGCAGCACACTCAGTTGCCTGGAAACATCCCAAACGAGAGATTCAGCTGGGTTCCAGGCGAGTCTCTCGTAAAACCAAGCTTGTTTGCAAATGAGCCTATTTCGCTGATATACACTTGTAAAATGATGCGAGATCTCGCACTGCTTGTTGTCATCTTCCGCAAAAGTCTCAAAACTCTGATTGAGAAATCTGAAGGACTGCTTATTTCGATTTACTACCAGCCAAATCACAGGTGTTTTCCTGCATTAAACTGTGCCTAATGTGATGGCACTTAAAAAAACTAACGACGCAAAATCCGCCACTATTTTTACACGACAGGTGTGTGTGAGGGATCCCTGACCAACTACGCTGAAATTCAAGCAATATCTGCCTAATGGGAATAACATCCCGCAGCCGCGACAGTCAGTTGGTGAAACATTAAGCTCCATATTTGCAAAGTAATTTGGTTCTTTCGAGAGACTCACCTGGAACCCAGCTGAATCTCTCGTTTATGATGTTCTCAGGCGACTGAACGTGCTGCACCAGGCCGCCTCATGTTTCGATGTCTACGATATTTGAAATATCGCGATACATGTATATCTTTGTAATGTACTACTCATAAGGTTGCTGAAAATTCATCGACAGCCTACGACCGGTTTCGCATTTCTTGGGGCTCATCAGGTGGGTTCCAGGTGAGTCTCTCGAAAGAACCAAATTAGTTAGCAAATGAGTGCATATTCGCTAATTTCGTGCAATTTGGTTTCAAGTAGAACATAAGGTTGACTGAAACCCGGGGACCGTGCCTACCTGATGAGCCCCAAGAAGGGTGAAACCGGTCGTGGGCTGTCGATGGATTTTCAGCAACCTTATGAGTATTACATTACAAAGATATTAAGTTCCATATTTTCCAAATACTGAAATCGTTCATTATCCATCTTGTATACTTTGGAAACGCCGGACTGATTTGACAGTTCACCAATCACTTAGAAATCTATTGAGCTCCTAATCGGCTGAAGATTTTCTTCCACCAAACTGTTCTATTCCAGACCATGTAGTTTTTAATTTCCATTCGATAGTCGATTGATAATGTCCACACGGTTCGCCAGCTTCCGAGGATTTTTCAGCTTTCAGAACAGATTTTTTGTCTTCCCAGTTGAGCACGCAATTGTGTTTTTGAGTAATTACTTTGTTTTGTAAGTGAACTCATACGAACATCGATTGTGTGCCGTAACCTGAATAAGCATGACTTGTTATTTTGTAGGGTGGCTTATTTGACGGTTGTTGACCACACCAACAGGGACTATCGGTTTGTATCATATCTGAGGGTTAATGTTTCAGATGCGACGGACCATACTTGGAATTCCCTTTACTAACCTCCCTCGGTGTGGCCACAATTCCCTGGGTTATTACTCCATGACATCCAACAACTGCCGGAAATCTGAGGCGTACTGGGCTGCTCACTGGTCGCCCAGAAGTACCACGCGTCTCGTCTCTACCTATTCGAACAAGATTATTAAAAATGGGTTTTCCGCGTAGTTTCTGATCGTATGCTCAATGAATATCGCGCAACCCTGTCAGTTGTTGAGCCCGTGCCGTCTAGCTAGGCCGTTTTTGTCAGGCATCCTAATACTCCGCGACCAGTTGGTAACGCTTTTGGATGGTGTGTAGACTTATAATAACAGGATGATCTCCGGACCTGGAATACGTATTGTGAGTGCATGTGTATGAGCTGAGCTGTCTGTTGCGAAAAGATAGCACTCCAGCGGATCGGATTCCCACATATACATACAAAATTAAATGTCTGCGATGCGTCACAAGATGCCGAACAAGCATACGAGGACTCAATGCTCCTGTACATACATACTGTTTACCTAACAAAGGCATCAAATTCCAGCTGAATCGTTGGACCTAACGACAAGATCTTCAAAACTTGTCAGCCCAATCACTGAGTAAGATAAGTACATGTTCACCTGTATCATCAGATTGTTTTTGATACGAAAACCTCCGCAGATCAAGTATGGATCTGCCTCACCGTAAAACTGCGTGCATGGCGTTCAATATTCTACCATGCCAACATCGAATCCGCCCCTTCATGCTCCACTCTCACCTGTCGGTTCATGAAATTCGGTAGACATTTGGATATCGATTTTTGGCAGTGCAACCTTACGTTTTGGACCCTAGAATGCCATTTATTTCCATAATAATCTGCCGTAAACGATCGCATCAGTGGTTTGCCCCGCAGGACGGATTGGACTGCATAATGTTTGTATGCAGATATTTTCACTTATTCTGCAATAAATATTCAACATGCTCTAATTGCAATGTGGAAGTACATCGCTGGTGTGAGGTAGGTACTGGTAGGTCGGTGGTGAACATGCCATTGACTTCTGGTTCTCATTATTACGTCAACATTTTTAGACTCGCCGGCTGCTTGCGGCAGGCTTCTGCGCGTCCAACTGACCTTGTGCCATTTGAAGAAGTCATGACCTTGTCTGTAGCATCTCACTCGGAATCCCCTACGTAACGTAGGTGTCCACTGGCTGGACCACATTGACCAGCAAGCCAGATCCAAATAACAGCCATTCGCATTTGAATTTGTCGGTTATTTGAATTCACCTGTGTGATTCGATTCTCACTTATTGTGGGACGGAAGAAGTTTGGTGTTACATACTACTCACAAGGTTGCTGAAAACTCTTGGAACTGCTTCGATGCAGTGGGCTTGTTCAAATCTGCCCCTTTTGTCTACCAAAATTACTTAAAATCATTCCGGAAATCCAAAAGTTTACTTTACTTCTGATATATTGTCGGTACAAGGATATAGCTGCGAAGCTTTCTCGTGGCAGGTTAGCAATTTAACGCGTGCATATTTTGTATTCCCCCTTTTCAAACCTCATGATTTGAATCCTGTTATGTACCCAGTCTTGATTGAGTCGTTGAGCACATTTGAGATCACTGTTTTTTTCTGAAATCGAGCTGTTCACAGCTTATCGCTCGCAGTTTTTGCTGGGCTCCTTAATACCCACCGGAACCAAATTATTCTTCCAAGATACACTCGGGCGCTACGGAACACAGTATTTCTGTGCCCAACTGGAATTCTGTAAAGTGAATCTAATATATATAAGAGACGTGTACCAGTAGAACGACAGCCCTATGCCACAGTTCACTATAAGAAAACACAGGTAGTCTTCCTGCTCTGTGTTGAGCACTCAAAAGTACCCCACGTTTAAAACTAGTTCAGAAAGTCTAGCAAATCCTCGTGAGCAGCCCAGTGTGTTTCCTCTTCTCGGGGGACCAAACTCACGAGATGGCAGCACCCTGGGATTTGCTTTAGTAAGATTCAGTATGCTATCGGGATTTGCTTTAGTAAGATTCAAGTATGCTATCGATTTAGAATGTGACTACCGTAGGAAGTTTCTCCCCCCGACCATCAAGGTTCTCTAGCATAACACAAAAATACGCGCTTACTGCCTTCGAGCAATGACCTCCGAGCAATGCCTTCGATCAATACCAATATCAAAGCCGAATGTGTCACACAACAGCGGTACAATCAAAAAAGCAACAGTCGAGGCAGAATCACAAGAGAGAAAGCAAAGAACACCAACTCAGATAGTAAAACAACGGCGAAATACCATAAAAGACAGGCACCCCAATGATGCGAGTGGCCAGTATGAAAGTTCATTTGCTAAGCAGGTGGCAGCAAATTCAACTGATGCTGTTTTTGTGCATGTAGGATATAGAAATTTTCGTCTACCGTAAATTATTTCCTGTGAGTTTACGTTGTCAAATCGCACTGCCATTTAAGCTAATCTTCATCCCACTGAATACGAATCCGGTAGTCTATTGGCGGAACACACTTCCCATAGGGTTGTTGAAAGCAACCCGACACCCCATTCCCGGTTTCACCTTTTTTTGGGTATACCAGGTAGGTGCTGTTCCCGGCTTTCAGTATTGATTACAGAATCTCAGAATACTTTGTGCTAGTTCCCTTGAGTTGATGTCGAGTAAGACGGAAAATCTACAAAGTAAACCTAACTAAGTGGTCGGCTTCAATATAAACCCTCTGCCTAAGTTGATTGGATTGTTTTCCACATAACTCTGCGCTTTTTTATCAGATTTGTGAGGTAAATCATTCCATGGGGTTATCAATTCACTTGCAACCAGGACAGTATGTGATGAACAGTCCTCAGAAGCAAGGGCTGTTTCGCAGTTTCCAGAGGAGTGGATCAGCTCTTTATCTCTCAGGTGTTACTGAAAACTTCACGACTACTGTGCTTTACTATTACATTAGAAATTATTTAGTGAACAGCGGTCTAAGGGGGTGCTAATAACTTCATGCTCCCTATCGTTTTCACAGGGAAGTCAAACGAACCTCCACTGGAATAGATGGGCTACAACGAATTTGTTTTGCACACTTAGTTTCGTGTTTTTTACATTTTCCGACAATGATATGGGTAGTTCGACGTACTTTCTATGATTGTTACTTCCACAATGTTCTCCGCGGGTAATATTCATCAGAAATATAAGGACAACAGTCGACTGCGCATACCCCCATATTCAGTAGACGGTAAGTCAAATAGGTGAAGGAGTCGTGATATTTAGAAATCATTTCTACTTAACTGGATGGAAGTGATTGATGCTACACTGACTGAGACAACAAGACTTCAACTCCTCTTACATTTATAATATCACTGACTTAGCGAAATGCAAACTAATTTGGTTTTGCGAGAGACTCACATGGAACCCAGATAAATCCCTCTTTCGTGAAGTTTTCAGGCAAATGAATGTGCTGCACCAGAACGCCCCATGTTTCAGTCGCTACGAGATTCGAGATATCGCGATACACGTATATTTGTAATGCACTTCTCATAAGGCTGCTGAAAATTCGTCAACAGCCCACGACCGGTTTCGCCCTTCTTGGGGCGTGGAGAGAGAGATTCAGTTGGGTTCCAGGTGAGTCTCTCGAGAAACCAAATTAGTTTGCAACTGAGTGTATTTCGCTAATTCCGTGCAATTTGGTTTCAAGTAGAACATAAGGTTGACGGAAACTCGGGGACTGCGCCTACCTGATGAGCCCCAAGAAGGGGGAAACCGGTCGTGGGGTGTAGATGAATTTTCAGCAACCTTATGAGTAGTGCATTACAAATATCATTGACTGTTTTTAACGGCGTAAGTGATTACACTACTCCATTTTGATGAGTCAAGAACCGAAAAAATAGAAAATTAAGCAAAGAGATAAGCGCTGCCCGGAAATATATTTTACACAAGATGTGTCAAGGGCTGTATTTCTGTGGCGTTGCTTTCACCTTGTGACCAGTGCCAATGAAAAATTACAACGAAGGATTCCAGTTGTTGTCAGCTGGCGGCTCGAAATCATATTTAAGGAATGAACTAAAACTTTCAACATTTCAGCTGTTTCAAGCAGTGTTGCGCAAACGACCTCCCGTAATGGCAGCTCTCCGGTTGAAACTTTTACTGACAAGTGTGAACATGTCGGTAACTTAAGAATCGCAGTGCATGAATCCCGTCGGGCTTCAGCTGGTTGCAACCCGTTTTTTGGGTTAGTCCACACACAAACGGGCCTTCTGTTCAAGCCTAATTTGCGTCTCAAACAAAAGTACTTGGTCAGTTTTGTTTTGTGCATGCAGGGTTGATTCAGCATGTATGATGTCGACCGCTCTTTAAATTCCCGTTTCCTTATTGGTGAAAGTGGCACGTGTCTTAACTGGTTTCAGTTTTACCATATAGATCAAGGCTGCCCTCCTCTGAAATGATCGTCTAAAACGACTACAGAATTTGACGGTTTCTACTGGAGGTACTAGTGTCGTTGAGACAATCTACATTCCACAGGCTAAAATTCGTTTGCCTAGAGAATCCCCTCAACATTAGATAAAACTCTTTCATATAGATCAAAGCTGGAAGTCAGAATCAGCGTAGAGAATCGTTATCACAACGGGAGCCTGTTTAAAACAGCAGACTTCTAGACTGGTTACCAACTGAAGAGAGGAATTACGCAGTTAGTGGAACACAATATCAATCAGTGGATCAACAAATGGATATCAGGCACGAGGCTTGAGATCTAGCTACACCTAAAAGGAGACCACTTTTATTTGCGCGATGCTTTCGCCGCACTGTCATCCAATTTCCCACCAAATATTTTGCTGCAAACTGAGAAACGTTAGCAGTTCCCCCTGAAAGTTCTATTTTACTCGGTGCTCCGAGTTTTCCAGACAGTTCACTTTAACCGCTGTAGGGCTTCATGCTAAAAACAGCTGATATGACAACGAGCACCAAAGCAAAATACTTCTAAGTTTTAGTGACTCTTCGTCAGTGGAGGCATCCGTATGAACAGAATGAATTATAAAAAGTATTCATTGACTTACAGCCACCGTATACCGTCTGCCTGATAGGGCGGGTATCCAGTGATGTGTACCAGCAGTACAATAACCCATAGCACAAATGTGGAAAATTCGAAATAACCAGATCGATGCGATGCGGAAGTTCCAGCCTTTTGACGTGAAGCCATAGAAGGAGACATTGTTCTGTGAATCAGTTAAAGTAGAATTCCGAGTATCCGGTGTATGTTAGTTTTGTCCGGACTGAAAAATGTATGACATCGCAGTGCAATGCTGTGGAATCCTATAGTATATGTTCCGTATTCCTACACAGGCGTCTAAATTTGAACTGGTCGTGTCATAGACAGCGATTAATTCAGAAGTTGCAATGGAGAAAATGCGTGCTTCACACCTGTCACTACTGCTGGCCACATGTATGTGTTACCAGTTTCCGTTTGTTGAGTGAACGCGCGTTAATAAGTTGGTAACTGGAGATCGCATTTTATCGCCTTTCTATTCCTCCATTCGACCCCCTCAGCCCCATGTGCCCGGCTAGGTACCAGCCAGATTCGAGCAAAACTGGCATTCTGTGCTGTCTGTTGCTTGCTTCGGCAAAAGTGCGAACGATCGCCAGTGGTGGATACACCAAGCAGCTGCACACATTGCATTCACATTCGTGTATGAATTGGGCGCACCGGCAGACGCACAATGGTTTGCGCACGCACCTGAACGAATAGCGTGCCTGGTACAGTCGCAACGTTCGCGAAAGGCCATAACCACGCATAAATGTGTGCACGCATGCATGCACACCTCGAAACACTGTGACCGGCGTGCAGTGCACATGCAAGGACCGATTTATCGGGTCTGGATGACCGTAAATCACACGGGCAACATCCTGTTCACAGCTGCTGTCTTGGTGCCATGCTGTCACCAAAATTGGGTTTTCAATATGGTGGGCAGAGCCTCGACCAACTGTGCCCCACAAACAGGCAAATGCGCATCGTTTATGTGGTGTATCAAGTTACTGGCTCTGAACGAAAATGCTGTGGCGGTGGTGGTGGTGCTCTTGGCGGTGGCTGCAGCACCGGCGATGGCGGCGGCGGGAGGTCTGGCGTGTACCACAGATGCTGGCAATATTTACGGGCTAGCGCCAGACGAGGTCAACAATCTGAACTACTTATGAATGTGTGTCTGTCCCAGGGGTCAACAATTCAGTGTACCAAGCCTTTGTTCCCGATCGGACATATTGCATGGAAGCACGCACCTACGCACATAATCTATAGTAACCCATCACCTAGTTGGCGTATTGGATTATATGATTGGTCAACGAAGCACATAAATTTCCCGCGAGACTATTCAGGGGTAGGTATGACTTCTGAGGGAAGAATTCGTGTAGCTGACATGCCCACACACCCCCAACCCCTGTATCCCACGAGAAGGATAGCATCTGGTTGGCAGCCGGTCGTAAAATGCGGGTGCGTACAAAACGACGCCAACCATGCAGCTGGAAACCGTTAGCCACTTCGTGTTTCCCAGGATATATTTGAGCGTCCGTCTTTAGTTTACGACATCGATAACAAGTACATCAAATCTCATGCATGGGTGCGACTGTGGGTGGAGCCTCTGCCTTCTTTCACCCATGTTCTACATTCTAATCTCTATATACATCTACAGTTGCTGTAATAAGTTGTTACCGAATAGCATAACAACTAGTGGATTGCAAGAAACACTGAGACATTCTTGTGAACTGTAGGTGTACCATAGCACTCAAAATGAAGCGAAAATAACAAAATCTAATTGGTTGACTGTAAACACAGTGCAGTCTAATCATAGGCTGACTGTATTGAGAAAACTTTCATCAGTGAGCAACCTATGGCTAGTAAATAGTGAGATCACTTGCACAAAGTGGAACACGATGGAACAATTCAGCTTGTGGATTAGATCGCCTTGAATTTTCAGGCTGCTCTACTTAAAATCCCCGTAAGTAAAATGTACGAAGCTGAGTTCTTTGGTTTCTTAGTTGACATATATCCCACAAACCACGAACTGGTGGAAATTCCTCTGTACCTGGTTGAGAACATCGGGGATTAAATAGCAGTGTATATCCCACTGGTTTTGATGAATCTAGGGAACATAACATCACGATCCAGATAAACTGCTTTCGCCCCGGAAAAACAGTAGTAAGAAGTAATTTTTATACTACAGATCTGCCAGCTAAATACTTGTAACAGAAAGATCATTGAGGTTAAGTTCCTATGTGCGCACCTAAACACTTATTAATCGTGCAGCGATCCCACTAAATCATTTGTGTTTGACGAAGCTTCAGCATGGCAATGCACTTTCAATTTTCAAGTTTCCACACGTGAACAATTTTGATGCCTCACCGATTCCCTGTCCCACCCCTCTAACTTGGTAAAAAACGCGTGATATATTTGAAGTATTTAAGCCAAAATCCTCGCGCCTTTCGGTGTTGTTTGATGCTTTTCTCTAGTCTACCTCTTTCACTCAACTTTCTTCTGAACGGAGATGTTTAAAATATGAAGAAATAAACCAGAATCTGGAATGATAGGTGAATGATTCTCACAAAACATCAAGAAAAAAACGTTTTTGTAAACTTGCAAAGGTTAAATCAGGGTTAGGCGATATCTGATTGCGCTTAAAGGATGTACCTTCAAACGAAAAGAGGGTGTAGAGATACGGCCACCAACAATGATCAGCAAGCAATTTATTTTGATTTTCAACTCACAGCTCCCAAGCGCTAATTTACTCAAAATTTCGAAGATCGTCATCCGTAGCCCCATTCGAAGGACTATACTTACTGTATCAGATGACACACTTCTGGAAGGAGTTTTGCTGTTAGCATTTGGCTTCTGTGAGTTTAAAGTACCTATCTATGCTTGGCGATTGTTCGAAATCTAAATCGAATTTCTCGAATTTCTCGAATTTCCAGTAGCATGAGCCCTCTTTCTGACAGCTCGATACACAAGGAGCCAATCAGATGACGGCTCCGTAGGCCGCCTGCAAAACAACCACACAGCCTCCAGTCACACAGGTGGCACTCTGACTCTTACCAGTCTGGATATGGCCAATGGTTAAGGTTCTGTCGGAGAGCCCGTTGCGGATGATGAAGTTAGCGTCAATTGGATTGTTTTTGTTCGCCCTCGGTCGAATAAGTGGGAATTTGCTACGAGCATTCGTCTGGCGGATGATGAAAGTCCGGATCAAACGTGAAGCAATCAAGTGCTGCCCTCTTTGGTGTTCATGCCAACGGTCCTCAGAATCGTCCTTCTCCTCTGGCATTAACTTTGCAAGGCTGAATTCAGTCAAGCGGACGTTCCTTAAACGGAAATATGAACCAATTAACTTCCACCCACACGGCCCCAGCCCAAAACCACCCGGATCAGCATCGCTGCCCGGACCGGTGTTTTAGTTGCTACATCTATCGGCCCACGATGTCTGACTGACAAATGCCGTCGAGAGCTCTTGGTCTGTGCCCTCCACATCCTTTCCGTCGTAACTAAAGACCAACTGATTTCACTCTATCGAAACTTTACGTCACAAGAATGTATCCGCTTTCTCACTACCCTCAACTACTCCGTACAACATTTGCGATACCGCGGCAAAAATGCACCCTAAATTATGAATATATAACTCGGATAGCCGTTGATCGTTCAAATATATCTGGGTCTTTGAAGCAGTCCCTTACACGTTCAGCTGTGGAACACGCAAACGCGTCTTTTGGCGGCACCACGGATCTCATGGATCCGGATAATTTGGAGTCGGAAAGTACTGGGTTTAAAGTTCGCCTGGAAGCTATTCTGGCGACAGAACCGGGGCTGATTGTTTTGGACCTGCAGCATCTTGTTTTAGGCGAGAACTGAAAACATGCAACCCCAACGATCCCATTTTCAAAGGAATTATGGAGGTGTACATTTCTCTACTGATGCACACGCCGTCTGATCATCTCATTCGTCACACATTCGCCACCTTGAGGATGTTTGTCGGTCGGCTCGTAAAGGTTTCATTTTCCGAATTCACTGAAATCGCCAACGCACTGTGTGGCTGGATTAGGTTTGGCCAATCAAAATCTGCCCTAGCCAGTTAGTACCTGTTATACTGAAGCGTCACCGGCGGAAGACATGGTAACCCAAACCGCCAATGTGACATGCCAGGTCCGGATAGAGGCCTGCAGTTCCTTGTACAAACTCTGGAAGGCGAGCTTTGAAACTTACGGGACCTCGGGCTTTCATCGGGTACACCTCCAGCCCATCATCTCCGAATCGAAGCTGGTCAGCGAAATCCAACCTGGCTTCGATGCAGGTTTGAGTCTACTTCAGAGTCCTCTAGGGAGAGAGGACACGAAATTCTTGACCTTGAGTAATCTTACTGGATGAGTTTAACGATTTGTCTCCTGAAATTCAAACCATGCTCACGGCGACTTCGGAGATGCGTCAACATAGTGATGACCCCGAGCAGCTGGTCGATCTGTACTATTGTCTGTACTATTGTCACATAGAAGCAATGCTGTCCTCTGGCGCACTTGTTTGGAAGAGTTGGTAAAACTCCGAAACAAAGGGCGTTCCTCCCTACATTTGTAAGTCGTCACATGGTGTGCACTGCGTGGTCGGTGAACAATCACTTGCAGTCGAATAACAGAATTCAGCTTCTATCCGGAATTGTCTGTTTTCAAAGTTCTCCCTCGCTCTGAAGATTTGGGGAGCGCAACCTGCTGTTCGTTTCCAAAATTTAAACGTGCATTCGCAAACTGAGATAGCATGAAATAAACCTCTTGTTTCGTTAAACAAATCCTGTTGCAAACTAAGTAACGAGCGAATCCCAGCGGTCCTCCCGTTTTTGATATACTGACTCGTTTGCGGTGTCCTACAACCAAATGTGCTGCATACAAAAATTGCCGAGCGATTCGTTTGGGCTAATATTTATGTTATCGAAATGATTTTACCATCAATGTTTTACTATATGACTGATGAAAGCATGTCAGTAGCCTTCTATCATTGTTTGCCACCTTTAGGAGCTTCGCTCCAGGACTTCTCTTGGTTTTCTCAAAGTACGTTTGAAAACTAATTTGGTTCCAACTGGAAATCCAGCTGGATTCCTTCGATTTCCTTCGGATTTTGAGCTTAAAAGTAAACTTGAACTTTCATTTACATGCAGCTCAGGCTGTCAGTGAATTCAGTAGGCCTTAAGGGATAAAATCCTAAGGCCGACTAGACTGTTATCTTTCCTAAGCTAAACTGAGACTGTTCAGGGTACCAGCTGGAAGGACTTCTTTTTTTGCCGAGGGAACTCACCGTTAACTGTGAAAAAACTAATGTCGATTTGTACAAAACCTAGTTGTGATGATGTTGAGCGAAAATAACATGAAAAAGCGTAATTTATCCTTCTCATTGCAAGAGCTGCTGATTCATTGGTGACTTCTTTGGCAGACAGCGTTTCAAGGGTTCGGGATAGCAAGTGTTGGTCTGGGTTTCTTTCAGCGCAAGGAGTTGTAAAATGCGGCAATCACCTCTCAGTGAATATGTTTGAAAATTGCGCCGAATCTCAGTGCCGCTTTGGAGCACACAAATGTAGCATTACGGTTCACCACTTCGAGGTATGCGTGAAGGTTTGCGTGGTGTAATTGCATGCGCGAGTGCGCGTGTAAGGAAGTACGGATGTCACACATTGTGGTCACTTTCATCAAGACTCTAAGTGTTACGGGTTCGAGGGAGTGACTGCA